ATGAAGATTAATATGGCGTTATTTTTTACTCTAAGAATTTTCCTAGTTGGATCAATTCCCAAATTATAATGAGAAATCCATGTGGTTTCTCGATTTTTTTACAACTAATGCTGTTTTCGCTCTTGCACCGCTCTTTCCGTTGCACCCAAAAACCCATTTTTATGTTCCGGATGCTTACGACATCATGGTGAGCAGGCAAAATAACCATCTTGGCAAAGTTTACGCGAATGAAATTTCGTGCATAGGATAAACGTAAAAATATGCGAAACGAAGTAACACCTTAGAAGAGCTGTACATTATCTCTAGAAAAGATTGTTACTAGAATCGCGAGTGTTGATTTTTCGATTATTATTTCTGTAGCCTATCATTTCAGCTTCACACCTATTGCGCTACACAAGACTGGACACTTCACTCAAATGATATGGAAGTCATCTCGAAAGATGGGTGTCGGTGTGGCGATAACGAAGAATAGCTCGGGTGGAGGACCATGCGCAGTACCTGGAAAAGATTCCTACATGATCCATGTTGTCATCAAATATGATCCCCCCGGCAATATGTTGTCACGAGACTACTTCGTAGAGAATGTCAGACCACCTAAGTAGGGCATTTTGTCTATTCAATAATTGTTGGCAGCAAGTGACGTTGACTTGATTCCGAAGCAGAGATCTTTGATCATTGCTCGTTTCTTGCAAGCGAAGAAGTCCAAAGCTACAAATCTTATATGTAATTTGACTGTACACCTGTTCATTGTTACGGCTAATAATTCGCGTCTGTGGTCGTCACGTGAAATAAGCAATCGGAAGACGAGTTCTTGTTGAATGAATGATCTCTTGTTTTGTTAAATTTTATATTGAAATTTCTATAAGCAAGCCTATGCATTGAGAGAGCGTGCTCTTTGGCACCCTCAAATAGAATCTTCTTTATATTTTAGGCCATATTTTGATGTATTTCGTGCATCTGTTGTTATTGTATGCAAAGTTTCGTGCAACTATAAATTTGTTTGAAGATAAGAAGTGAAGACTACAGAGTACTGGCTCGAAAAAGGTATACAACTTATCTTTTCTGATGCAATCAACTTCCAGATATGTACTGTATCGTGAAGCAATTCATGAGTTCATAAGATTTTCTGAAAGTATTTCTTGCGTGGGAAACATAGTTC